GCGCGCGACAGTGCGCCCCCCACCGCAGCCAGGCCGGGCTGGGAGCTGGGCCCAAAGGTCACAGTGACGCTGGGCAGTGCCCGAGGACAGGGCCCGAGACGGGAGGGCTGTGGTGGCATGGGGTGGGAGGGGCAGTGCCCGAGGACAGGGCCCGAGACGGGAGGGCTGTGGTGGCATGGGGTGGGAGGGGCAGGGCCCCCCACACCTGAGCCCTTGGGAAGGCGGAGACCCCGGGAGGGCCGAGGGCAGGGCCCAGCTGGGCGGGCAAGGACGTGCTGTGATGCCCAGGTAGCTGGCTGGCCTTGCCCGCTCCTGGACTCCTGTCCTTCCTTTGATTCCACGTAGAGCACTGGTGGCTCTAGGTCTGGGATCCTATCCTCTTCCAGAACCTTCCCTGAAGACCACAGGGAAGCAAGCCTTGCTAGCCAGGAAATAAGAGCGGCCACAGGCCAGGCCACTGGACCACCTTCCAGCTCCCCCCCCAGGCAGTCCTTGAAGACAGCCTCTGCTCCTGTTTCTCTGCCCAAGAAAGAAGGACCTGGGATGAGGTGGGGCACCTGAGGGCTTTTGCTCCTGCCCTTCTGCTCAGGGCTGGGGACAGTTAAGGGACAATCAGCCTGAGCTCTGAGAGCCAGCAAGTTGCAGCAACCCCCACAGACAGATAAAACAGGACATGAAAAAATGGGTGGGGAAGACGAACCAGAACAAGGCCCAGCCCTCCTGCCCAGGGCGGAGGGTCGCAGCAGGGCTGGGGGCAGGCGGAGGCCTAGCTGGGCCGGCACTGCACCTGGCCCTCGGAGCTGTCCTCGTCGTCGGAGGCCCCAGCGCCCCCACTGCTCAGGCCCGTGATGCGGTAGCCCATGTTCAGCAGCATCACCTCCAGGGGGTCCGCGTTCATGCGCCGCTGGTTGGCCTGGGAGGCGCCTTCCATGTCCTCCACGACCCGGCCGGTGAGGTCTTCACTCTGCAGGAAGGCGAGAGGGTCTGCTGGGGCATGGAGCAGGGTGGGAGGCAGAGCGGGCCAAGACAGGTGTTGCATACAGCAGGGTGAGGGAACACATGGGACAGGGAGGACACGCATTCACACACACACCAGGACATACATGGGACAGAGAGAACACGCCACACAGGATATGTAAGGGAGGACACGCATTCACACACACACAACAGGACACACACGAGACAGAGGACATGCCACATGGGATATGTAAAGGAGGACACACATTCACACACACACCAGGACACACACGGGACAGAGAGGACACGCCACACGGGTATGTCTCAAGGAGGGCACACCCTGGGTCATGTGCCAGGACAGGGATCACTGGGGCAGATGTGTGTATGAGCACATGCCTAGACATGGCCAGGCATGCACTGGCACATGGGCTAGGCTGGACAGGCACTGCCCCAGCCCAGTGTGTCCTGTACCCACAACCCTCCCTTCTCGTCCCTCAGGGCTGTGGTCCGTGTGGGTCCTCTCTGAAGTCCCTGCAGAGCCCCTGAGAAACGGCCTTGTCTGTGTTCAGCCAGCTTCAGGACAGGGGCTGGGCCGAGGGCAGGGACTGCAGGTTGCTGGCCTGACTGTGCCAGGGAGAGGCAGAGGGACCACAGGAGCCTGAGTCCCTGTGGGCTGGGGTCCCTTGTGAACGTCCATAGCTACCTCTGAGGTGGGACCGTCACCCCATGCCACAACACAGGGGATTAAAGCCCAGGTCAGAGACGGTGAAGTCTCTCAGGCAGGGCATGCAGGCTACACTCAGACCGCACAGCCTGCAGGGCAGCCCTGTGACTGAGGGCCTGGCCTCTGCAGGGCTGGGCACCAGCCCGCGGCTCAGGACAGGGGCTACCTAGGAGTGCGTGGCAGCCTCCCCCGCTGTGCCCGGGGCCACCTCGTCCTCGGTGTACTTGCCCCACGGCTCACAGGTGGCTTGAGGACCATGCCCAGGAGCTAAGCCTCCAGAGCTGGAGGGCTTCCCATGCTGTGGCCTTGGGCCCGCCAGAGCTCACCCACCCCACAGCTCCACCTCGGTGGGCTCCACAGGGCCTCCCATGGTGCCGGTGCTCACCTCTGGCCGGGGGTTCCAGAGCCGGACCACAGGGTCGATGCCGCTGGTGGCCAGGAAGCAGCAGCTGGGGTGCGGCTGCAGGCAGTTGACGATGGATTCGTCCCCCTGAAGCACACGGACTAGGTTGGTGGTCTCCTTCTCCCAGATGAAGAAGGAGCCGTCGTCGGAGCCGCTGACGACGTACTGGGCGTTGCTGTGGGCAAGGCCAGGGGTCAGGTGCATGCCGCCCCAGCCTCCGGCAGAGGGGCCAGGCTTAGGGTGAGGGGGACAGGGAGGCCAGAGCCCCCAGCCCCGCATGCTCCAGGGCTTGTGCTGGCCCAGACTCCTGCGTGCACAGCGCTCTCCCAACGGTCAGGCCCTGCCTGCTGCTCTGAAACTCAGGACTGGCCACTGTCTGGGTCCCTCCCAGTTTCCCCTCCTCAGTGCCGGGTCAGCTCTCGTCTCTCAGGTGTCTGAACGCACCCTCGTCCCCACCTTCCCTGGGCAGTCTTGGCTTCTGGGGTCCAGCCCCTCACCTCCACTGACATTGAGAGGGGACCTTGGTGAAGGGGGTCTCAGTCATGCTCGTGGCCTCACCCGCCCAGCGTGCACTCATCTGTTCAGCACTCAGGGCCCCGGCCAGGCCCCAGCCAGGCCCCGGCCTGGCAGCTCCAAACACTCACAGGGCTGGCTGGATGCTAACTGGGCTACCACATCAGACCTTGAGCCCCCACCCCCCGTGAGCAGGAGAGGTTGTTTCCACTTCTCAGTGAAGAAGAGGGGGACAACAGGAGGGACGCGGCCTGCCCAGGGCTTGGGGCTGAGCAGGATGTGACTGCTCACCCCCTCCCCACCTCCTGCCCCTCCTGGACTTGGACCTGCCCGCTCACCCCCATCCCCACCTCCCCCTGCCCCTCCCAGCCGGCTCAGACCTGCCGAAGAAGTTGGCCTCCTTGATGTCGGTGGTGGTGTTGCAGTGGCCGCAGTAGCGGAACTGGTAGTCGTAGCTTCGCTCACGCAGCACCATCTCGTCCTCCGAGATGGAGTCCTTGCGGCTGGCGCTGCGTAGGCGGACTGGGCCGGCCCCCGCTCCCTTCCTCTCCTCTGTGGCAGAGATCAAGGAGGGTCAGGGCCCTGCCCCCGCTGCTGTTTCCCGCACACACGCAGACACTGGGCCAGGTGGTGGGGAGATGCGTCTGTGGGCCCAGCCCCACGGGGTCCAGGAGCCTTGGGCAGCAGGAGTCCTGGCAGGGGTCCCTGGACACGGGATGCACAGGCTCGATGGCCAGCAGAGAGCCCTGAGTGGTGACTGTCCTAGGGACACCCCAGCTGTCAAGCCAGGGGTGGGCCCTTTCCCTCGAGGGATGAGTTCTGATGGGTCTCAACTGAGGTCCTGGCGGGTGATGTGACAGGCACCACCGCCCTGGTCTCCTTACCTCCTGAAAAGCATCTGTCCCTACAGGGGCCTGCTCCAGGGCTCTGGCACAGGCTATCCCTGTGCCAGGAGCCACCCTGCCATGGTGATGCCCTGCCCTCAGCCCTCCTTGTGTCCCTACAGCCCCAGAACACCCAGGACCCAGCAGTGTCGCCACGGTGGCCTTAGTCTGATGACCGGTCACGTGGCTGGTAAGCTGCAAAGGGGTCCACATCTACGCACCACGCACGACGACCCAGCTCTCCCCCGTGCTCCATGGTGAGTGGGGCGGGGAAGGACTCAGGCTGGGCTGTGCCAGGGCCATGACCACACCATGGGGGTGCTGAGCCCTGCTGTCACCACCACCAGCTGCTGCCTCTCTGGTGCCCAAGTGAGGCTCCAATGCCTGCCTGTGGTAGTGACAGAGCCCGCATTGACACTGGCTCCACGTATCCTGCCCCGAGTGACCCTCGGCACAAATGCCGAGGTGGGAGTGCTGGCATGGCGGTCTCTGAGCTGACGCCCGAGCCCAGGCCTCTGCGGAGTGCTGGCTGCCACTCACCCCCATCGCTCTTGGAGAAGAGCGCTGCGGTGATGTCCCGGCCCAGCGCATCACACGCGCTGCTATGCGCCTGCTCCGGGAACTTCCCTTTGAAGTCGTCCAGGCACTCCAGGGCCTCAGCCACGTACTTGAGCTCAAAGAGGCAGCGGGCCAGGCGGAAGTGCGCCTTCAGGTGGCACGGGTTGAGGGAGATGGCCTTCAGGCAGTCCCTCAGGGCGTCGTAGTGGTCGCCGTCCCTGGGGAGGTAGAGTGTGGCTTGGAGAGGGGCCCAGGCAGTCTCTGCTGCTTCCTCTGACCACCCCGGCCACCTCCACCAGGCCACTGGGTGGGGACCTTTGGGACAGAGAGTCCTGGCTCGGCCCTGCCCCTTCCCGGCCCCCGCCCCCCAGTTGGGATGCCTACGCCAGAGTGGGGCTGCCCTCTGCTGGGTGAGAACAACTGCACCCACGTGCTCTGCGGCAGATGGCCAGGCACCATGCCGGCCTCAGGAGCCCCAGGCCCCCTGTCCTCCGTTACCTCCTCAAGCCCCCGCTGGCCTTCAAGGCCAGGTTCGAGGCGGGAGGCCCAGGCGAGCAGTTCTGTGGGCAGGGCTAGATGTGCCTGGCTAGAGCTCAGGGCCGGCCAGCAGGCAGCGAGCCCTCGCTCAGACTGGTCCAGGGCAGCTGTGCCTCTGCCTCCTGGGCTGCAGGGGAGCCTGTGCTGCGGCAGGCAGCTGGCTGGAAGCGGATGGCCACAGGGGCCAGAGCGCCCAGCCCCCTCACTTCTCTGACCTAGAGCACGCCGGAGGGCAGGGGGAGGGCTTGAGGGGCAGGGAGACGTCAGAGTTCTGACAAGCTTCACCTTCTAGCCTGTGTCAGAACAGAAGTCACTCCTGCACCCACTCATACCCCTGCCCTGCCTCGTCCAGAGCCCGTGCTCACAGGGGCAGCTGCTCCACTGGAAGCAGCCGTCTCCCCCTGCAGGCTGGAGCGGGCAGCAGGCAGAGCCCCCAGAGCCACGACAACCCTCTGCCAGGGCCCAGTTCGACACTCCGGCACGGCTGAGCAGGCCCAGCACACAGGTCCTGCTGGACCCCCCACAGCACCGAGGGGGTGCCCACTTGCAGCAGGCAGGCATGGGCAGGGCAAAGCTGCTTGATGGTGGGCCTGCGTCAGAGTGAGTGGCAATGACAAAGGACAGGCGCTGTTTGGAAACCCAATCACGGCTTACAAGGTGCCCTCTGAGCTCCTGGGCACAGCCAGACTAGAGCCAGCCCCAGCTTGGCAGGCCCCACTGCACTCAGGAGATGGGCCTGGACCCGAGTGTGACATTCTAGGGCCCTGGCCGGCATGTGGGGCTAGCCAGGGCTCCCCCAGCTGCAGGGACAGCCCTGGGCACCCCCCTCTGGGCTCCCAACCCTGTGGCAGCTGGCGTGTGTGTTAGATCGAGGCTGAGTGCCACTGCTGTGCCCCAGCCCCCCAGGCCAGCACCGGCTGCTGCACAGACTCACTGCCTGCCAGTCCCTTCCCTGCCCTCTGCCCAGCCAGGGGATTTGCTGTTCTGCAAACGAGCTCTGGGGTTGGTCACCCACCCCACGGCTTGTTCCCCCACTCCATCTCCCTGGAATGTCCTCCTTCACTTCCCTGTCTAAGTCGGCCTGCACCAAGGTCCAATTGGACACTCCCCGATCTCTGGCCGGGTGCTTGACTGCCCTGATGCCCAGGGCCCTTTGTCTAGTCAGTCACTGACTTCCTGCTGCCTGTCTCTGACCTGAGCGACCTCCATGGCTGGCCCTCACTGAGGCCTGTGCTCTAGCACACGGCACCGCGACCGACCGCGTCCACACTGCGCTCCAGCACACGGCACCGCGACCGACGGCGTCCACACTGCGCTCCAGCACACGGCACTGCGACCGACCGCGTCCACACTGCGCTCCAGCACACGGCACTGCGAGCGACCGAGTCCACACAGCGG